TCATCCAATCAACAGGTGTTTTCCTTCCATGCCTCTTCTCAAAGGTCTAACATATGGACAAGTGACCTGTAAAATGCTGGATTCAAAACATAGTAAGGACTCACCAAAACATAAATGGCAGTAAAGAGAGGACACCCAGAACTGAAGGGCCAGAAAAGAATTCTAAGAGATTATTTCTGAAAGGCCTTTTGAAGGATGAGTATTGGTTTGGGGGGAAAAGAATCTATAAACTGAGTGTTCCTTCTACTCTCTTGTTTCTACAAGGTTCATCTTAAATTTCCAAAATGTCTCCTTTCTAGAGCTGAGGTAATAGACCAAGCCATTAAAAGTCCTTATATTTATTTCATCCTCTTGTCTTTTTTCAAAATTTATCATATGTAAAATGACGTTTAATCAATCAATAGTTAATGAGTTAATATCAAAAGCTTTAGAGTTTTTATTTTTAATAACCCGAAGTTAGAAACAACCCAAATGTCCGTTGACAGGTGAATGCATAAATGTTATCCACACAATGAAATACTATTCATCAATAAAAAGTAATGCACTTTTAATATACACAAAAACATGGATGAATCTCAAAAAAACTGTGCTAAATTAAAGAAGCCAGATTTTTTTTTTTAAGTATATAATATAGGGGCACCTGGGTGGCCCAGTCAGGTAAACATCTGACTCTTGAGTTTGGCTCAGGTCATGACTTCACGGTTCATGAGTTCGAGCCCCATGTCCAGATCTGCGTGGACAACCTGCTTTGGATCCTCTCTCTCCCCCTCTCTCTGCCCCTCCCCCACTCAAGAACATGTGCTTTCTCTCTCTCTCTGTCTCTCAAAAATAAGTCAACTTAAAAAAAAGAGTACATAACATATAACTGCATTTACATAAAATTCTACAAAATGAAAACTTGCCTGCAGTTTAGTGCCTGAGGAAAGAAGGATTGAGAAGAGAAGAAATACACTGAGTAGGAGGAAGGTCTCTGGGGGAAAATGGATACATACACTATCTTGATGGGTGATAGTTTCACAGATGTATACAAATGCCAAAAAAGTATCAAACAGTATACGTTACATATAAGCAATTTTGAGGATAAAGTATACCACAGCAATGTTCAATAGTAAAAAGGGGAAACAATCTAAATTCCATGTAGTTGATGGGTTGCTAAATAATACATTCACCAATGAAACAACAGAATATTATGCAACGGTTTAAAAGAAAAATGCTAATAGCAGTGGACACACTTCTACTGCGTTTACAGGCAAAAATATATTTTTATATAGTCATCTGATAATCAGCAAAATCAAAAATATTTCCAGCTCACAGAAAAAGTAGTTAGGTTTCATCCAATTTTAGAAGACATAAAGTGTATTAAAGATCCAGCCTCATTTTATACATAGAAAATGTATTTACTTGCATAAGAAAAGACCTTCCCATAAGGTCACAAAGTTATTCTAGTACATCATCCTTATTTCCCTCATACTCCTTTCTCATACATATGGCACACCTCAGTTCTCTGACACATTACCTCTTGTGATTTCTCCCTACCATGTCTGCCACTAACTTGTATGATCCTGACCAAATGAATTAAACCCTGAAGCCGTTTCAACTAGTTGATCTACAAGGCCACCTTTAAATCCATATTCAAACACTCTCTAAGCTGCTGAAACCAATAATATCTACATCAGTGAATTCTTAGTGTAATGTCTGAATATAAATATGCAAGACAGCAAGATTGCTTATGCAAATGATCTAATTTACAAATTTACAAGCCGTGAACAAAGGACTAAGTGGTACTCTTACCTTGTCATAACTGTTCACATTTCTATGTACTAGAAGAAAGTGCTTTTTGCTACTAAGTACAGAATTGAGCAAGTATGAATTTTAAGACGATAAATACATGTGTTTATCACCATCACATCTGAGTATCAAAGTGCCTCAAGAAGTTACTAAATATTTTCACTGAAAACTGTGCCTGTGTGTTTGTACCACTTCAGAAGCCTTTCCCTAAGGTTCTCCAGAGCAGCAATATCAGTCTTCATGGTGGCTTTACAGATTTATGCCAAAAGGTGCAAAAACAGTATTTTTTAAAAGAAGAGTAGCCAAATTCTCATCAGAATACCTACCCAAAGTTGGTACACCTCACATCATTTGCTTCTGCTGAGAATAACACACATACACACACACACACACACACACACACACACACACGGACAATCAAGAGTGATTAAGTTGTGAAAATAAATTATTAGCACTTAAGCAAATTCTATGAAAATAATAATATACATTAAAGGAACATCCTTTCCCTTTTAATTAGTCGTAAAGTAGAATATTCACTGCTAAATACACTGAGGAGAGAATTTGGCTTATAACAACAATAGATACAAATGTGTCATTTTAGAGAGGCTTACAGATTTCAGAAAAGCCCCAGAAATCCTTGGAGTAATGTTGGAATTGACAGCTTTCTTCCACGAGTGAAGCAGAAAAGCACATGGTTAAGAACACAAGATCCATAATTAAGTAACACAAGTTTTCTAAGCCTTACATTCCCTCATATATTGAGTTAGGGAGAGGGGACTATGTGTGCCTATTATACTTTATAGTGTAATTATGAGATTAAATGAAATAATGCAAGCCAAAAACTTTATATAGCACCAGGTATACATTAAATAGTAATAACTGTTCTTACCACTATTTTTAGTACTATAACCTTAATTAGTCTACACAGAGAGGTTAAAGAGCCAATTAAGAGTGAAGGGCACCTGGATGGCTCAGCTGGTTAAGGGTTCGACTTTGGCTCAATTATGATCTCACAGTTGGTAGGCTGTGTCAGGCTCTGTGCTGACAGCTCAGAGTCTAGAGCCTGCTTCCGTTTCTGTGTCTCCCTCTCTCTTTTTCTGACCCTCCCCTGCTTTCTCTCTCCCTCTCCCTCTCTCTCTCTTTCTCTCAATAATAAAAAAATTTAAAAAAAAAAGACCCAAATAAAAGTGAGTGATCTGTCCTCTAGGAGAGGAGTAAGCTAACTACAGCCTGCTATACAACTGAGTCCTTTGATTTGGCATGCAAGCTAAGGAAAGTTTTAAGATTTTTAAATGGTTGAAAAGATTTCAAACAAAATCACTCTAAACGTTACTATCTGTAAGCTCTAATACCACTATTGGTATATAGTAAGAAGAACGTGAAAATGCGTGAACATATATTTTAATTGGGTAAGTAAAAAATAAGAGCTGAAACCAATGGTAAAGTTAAATGCCAAAAAGAAGAGAAAACTCAGTCACATTCAATTTCATTGATCCTCCCAGCTAACTCATCATCTTTGGGGAAAAAGAAAGGTTGACGTAAAGGAAGATATTTGGAAGTTACTGCAGTGTGAAGTGGAAAAACGCAATTATATGACAGGACGAAATAAAAGTGTAAAGTAAGAGCAGAATATGCTTAACCTACATACAAATAAATAAGAGAAGGAGGGAAATGAGAGAAGATGCATAAAAGACAGAACAAACAACAGTATAGGGTGCTTATGGGAAGGATAAATCAAGAAAGGATAAAGTTTGATAATAATACAATTAAAAACATGAGTTCAAAATCTGTCCATTACTCTCTTCCTCTTCCTCTTTTCCCAAAAGGCCTTGTTTGATTTTAAGAAAACATTACAAGGAAAATGTTTCAAGACTTCATTAAGTGTCTGTAAAGAATCTGCTCCAGAGATTAAATAATATTTGGATTGTTAAAGGAGCAAACGAAACAGAAACCACAGCTGACGAACTTACATACCCTGATAAGAAAGGTAAACCTGCAAGAAGTTTAAGTTACTAAAATATTACAAAGTAACACACAAGTCAAACAGATAATAACTCTGTTGGAAGGAAAGAGGGCAAAAGAATTCATATTCCAACATGTGAAGAAGGACTATAGCTTAGAGCTTGCGAAGAGTCTGAAATACCAGGAGGGATAACTGGAAAAGGAATCAAAGAGGGATGAGTAAAAATATAGGCAAGTAGCATTAATGAATTTATGAGTTAGCAAGTAGCTAAAATCGTAAATGCATCCCATCTAGAACAATTATGCTATTTTCTGTAACAATCCAGCATCAGAGATAACAAGCAGCTGGACAGACTGACTAAGTATGTAAACTGTCAGAGCTGCTCGAGCAAAAAGTTATGATGGTTAGGCTTTCCAGTACATTATTAGGAGAATGAAATTACAGATATAAATTTCTGGCTGTAGAATGGAAAATGAAGCCAGAAGGAAGCCAAGTTAAGAAAATAGGCAAAAATTAAGAGACTAGCCTAATTACAGACAAAAATAAAATATGAGTATTAAAGAGGCATTATAAATTAGAGGAATGTATTTCTGCATTATTTCATTAAAGCATTCTCATGATTAGACGACCACGAATATATGGACACTGGTCAAATTAAAAGGAGAGGTCTAAGCACATTTTCTACTCTGAAAATACACAAAAAGAACTCTCCTAACAAATTACTATCATATAAAGACCATGGTTGAGGACAAAATCCAACATGATAAACCTGGAGTCTTACCAAACTAAAGTGAAATCATTATTTCAAGATTCCAAAAAGAAATATTCATATGATTTAGATATTACAAAAATACCTAAAAATTGCTTAAACGCTGCACAAATATCCACCCTGAAATTTACATAAGAAGATAATGATGCTTCAGTAGGCCACACACACAAAGGCATTATAGCATTAAATGACAGGTTGATATCGAATATAGAATTTCCAGTTCAATCAGTGTTGTTGACTCATAGTTTAAATATAATTGGTTGTATCATATCAACAAAGTTGGACTGGCAGGGACTGACAAGGAAATCACCTCTTTATATAGATTATTTTTTATTAAATTAAGACTTTAGCTGTGAAACTATTTTTGAGCCTGATTAATAGCTTAGGAAAGAAAACACCTCCACTTTCTATGTCTCACATACGTTTAACTATTTATATGCCTTTTTGCAAAAGGCTACTTGATAAAATTTAAGTACTTACTAATATCATCTTCATGATAAATGACAGAATGAAAGGGTAGAGTTCGGTCTTTAATATATCTCTCTGCTGGCTCAACATAAAATGTGCCACCACGAGTCTGGATGAATCCTTCAAATCTTCCATCAATAACTGACCCATGGCTAAAACTTCCTTCTTCACCTATTAATGAAAGCAACAAACTCTTGAAAAATTAATTTGCACATAAATGTTAAATTCATTCTCCTTCAAAAAGCTATTCTTAGATATTTTAAAAACCTGAATACAAATTTATTGGGGAAACTAACTTTCACATAAAATATATCAAGCTGAATCTGAGATGTGAACAGCAACTAGTACTTAGTTAAAATCTATACAATTACTAGCTAACAATCAGAAATAGAACATCTAGCTCCTTGACAATTATAGTCCCAGCACTAAAGCCTAGTGCCTGGCAAGTATTCAACAGTCACTCGATAAATAATTGTTAAACTAACTTAAATTCAGAAAGAGGCAAGCAGATCCACTGATGTAATATGCACTTTCAAAATAAAGGTATTAAAGTACCTTTTGAGTTTTTACTCTAATTACCGTAAGCAAAAAGTTCTATTCTCATCTGATATAATCTGCATGAGATCTTTGGCTCCCTTTTTTTATAAATACATTTTTAAAAATGAAAATCTCAAGTAGATTTTCAGAAGTAGTTTGAACAAAATTATACTAAGATTCCTTTTTAAGATATTGGATTTGTAATACTGTCCCATCAATTATACTTCTCTAGTGAAAGAGAATATGGGATAAAAAGAAGGTATTTTGAGAAATTCACAAAGAAAAGCTGAGCACCAACCATCACATGATAAGAAGTAGTGGAAAGGAGGAAAATGGTGCTTAAAAGTTAAATTTACCTGTTAAAAATTTCTCATTAAAAGAAGTATCAGGCTTTCCACAACTTCTAAACTGTAGATTAACACTAATTAACTGTGAATTAAATAAGGACTAAAGCTAAGAATCCAAGACAATGGTATCTCAAATGACATGATTTCTATCTGCAAACTTTTTTATTAGTCTTGTAGTTTTCTTGGCCATCACCTAGCAAAGAACAGCAGGCACTAAGTTATCTTCTCAGAAAGATAAATGATCAAGGAAATAGTAGAAAATTATAGTTTGACACTGAAAATCTAGACTGACGGAAACACACTTTCCTTTGGTTGCAAAACTGTAAGAGTACAAAAAACTAAGTTTCATCTACAAGTTGAGAATTCTTAAGTATAGAAATGCCTCATTTATCTGGCATCATAAAAAAAAAAGGAAACATTTTTTAAAACTTAATTTTTCAAAATGTTATAATTCTGAGCAGATTTATAATTCTGAGCAGATTTCTAATATATAGAAATGAAATTTAACTTTCAGTTAACTTAGTCTTAATAACTGAGAGTCATCTTAAGTATTTATTAATATACAATTCTAACAATATTTTGATCCTCTCTAATCCCTCCAGAAGACTTTGACTGTTCTTCCCACACTACTAAACTGTCAAATATAACTTTCTCTTGGGTGAAGTGTGCTCCCCAGCCCCCCAGTACCTTTTTAATCAGGTATAGTAAGAGAAATTTGTTAGAACTGTGAACACAGCAAACAAATTCTGAGAAAGGAAGGCCCTGAAAGGATTTTCCTATGCATAACTTTGTCATATTATTTTTGGCTGTTAAGATGATCTTTACAGTTTTCCTTTAGATTTTTCCTCTTTTCTTATAAAACACATCTAATTTCTTGCTTGAAAGATTAGAAAATTAAGAAAGTCGTTAAAAAAATTCTTTAATCTAACAGCTTGGAGGTATTGAGAATCAAAACTTCATACCTTTCAGTAACCAGGCACTGTATAATTCAACATTAAAAATACATGTAAAGATAGATCCAAGGGTTACTTCATCCTTCAAAGACCATTATCCTTCATGATATACTTAAATCTCTTCAGGATTTATCCCATGATTCTGTTTTTTGCTTTTTGGTGGTTTTTTTTTTTTTTTTAATATAATTTACCGTCAAATTGGCTAACATACAGTGTGTAAAGTGTGCTCTTAGCTTTTTATTCCACCTTTTTGATATATGTCTATACCTCAAAATATGTGTTTCCCTGTGTAGAAAAAAAATAAAGAAAGGAATTCTTCTAAGGTTCAACTTACCATAAATATGTCCAGTGTAAATATGAGAGGTATCATAATCAAGTACTTTATTTGATGTTTCAACTTTAAATTCATCACTGAAAAGGGATGTATCCCTCTTCATCCGTAGGTTGAAATGTCTGCAAAACAGAGTAGAAATGGGAAAAAATGATCAAAAGGATCCAATTTGTAAACAATTTTTGGGTTAAAAAAGTCTGCAAAATACAAATGGTTTCACACAATTTGTCTACTTGGAAATCTACTGTCCAAGATTTTTCTTATAAAAATTTTGCTCTAGAATTCAACCTAGTTGTAACAATATAAATCTAAATTATATACAGTTAAATAGTAACTGTCTAGACTATATTAAAAAATAAATGTCTATAGGATGATTCCTACATGATAAAACAAGTTCATTCCAACAGCAACTAAATTGCTTGGACATAAAAACAAGCTTCTAAACTCAATTACTATTATTCACCACTACCTGTCTTCCCTCTTTACTAATTTTACAGCGCTGCCGATTTCCCCTACTTTTCACAACTCAAATAATACATTAAAAACCGGCACCTATATTAATGACTCTTCTTTAGAAAAGCAAGTATGCATGCTCTTTCTCTTACACATACACATGCGTACGCATGCACACACACACACACACACACACACATGCGCACAAACACAGAGCTTTCAATTCCTATATTTTTTCCCTGGGACTTCTAATCCTTCTAATTGTCATTAGACCTTCCTCAGTTCAATTTGAGAAGCCCAAACGACCATGATATTAGCTGAAATCATACTCATTCTTAATTGTCTTCTACAGAGTAATGAGAAAGACTAAAATATTGAGGTGAAAATAAAGAAATCTAGGGGTGAATCAAACTTGAATCAAATCTTATGTCTAAAATCTACTAGCCCAGGATTCCAGTCTGTTAAATGATGATAATACATTCTATCCTGTAAAACTTTTTTAAGGGTTACAGCTTATAACAAATATAACGTCATTACACAGTACCTGGCACATAAGAGATGTACAATAAATGGCAACTAATTAGCTATCATTACCAAACTCTTAAAAGTGCATCAAGTTTCTTTTATAACTGTCATAAAAGTCTGCACATAGCACAATTTCTACTCAATGAATCTGAACTAATGTGTTCAATTAGCAACCCCCAAATGTTAGTAGGATATGGAATAACTGGAACTCTCACACATGGCTGGTAGAAGAACAAAATGGTGAAATCATTTTGGAAAACTGGTAGCTTTTTTTAAGTTAAACATATGAAAACCCTCTGACCCACAATTCTATCTAAGTGAAATGAAAGACAAAGTCCATAAAAACAAACTGGACACAGGGCATGTGGGTGGCTCAGTTGGTGAAGCATCCGACTTCAGCTAAGGTCATGATCTCACAGTCCGTAGGTACAAGCCCCATGTCAGGCTCTGTGTTGACAGCTCAGAGCCTGGAGCTTGCTTCAGATTCTGTGTCTCCCTCTCGCTCTCTCTGCCCCGGCCCAGGTCACTCTGTCTCTCTCTCTCTCTCTCAAACTAAAATAAAGACATTAAAAAATTTTTTTAAAGAAAAAAAACCAAATTGGACACAAATGCCTATAGCAGTTTTACTCATAATAGACAAAAACCAGAGATAACCCAAATGTCTATTAACCACTAAAGAGATAAAGACCGTGGCTTATTCACATAATGGCAAACTACTCAGCAACAAAAAATATCAAACTACTAAAAATATGCACTTTTGTGAAGACATAAAAGAATATATATAGTATAAGTCCATATATATGTAATTCTAGAATAGGCAAAAAGCTATCTATATAGAAAGCAGACTGATGGTTGCCTGGGGTAAAGAAAGACTAAGAACAAAGGCAGATGAAGGAATCTTTTGCTATGATGGACATATTCTATATCTTAATTTGAATGGCAGTTACACAAGTATAAACATTTGTCAAAACCTAACTCACATTATACACATGAAATGCGTACAGTTGACCTTTGAACAACATGAGTTTGAAGGGCATGGATCCACTTATACATGGAATTTTTTCCACAAATATAGTACAGTACTCTTAATAACATTAACTACAAATGAATAATCAGAAGCTGGACGTAATTTATTCCATGAATTATAAATTCTTTGCCACCTTTGTATTGAACATAATACAAAATAATAATAATTAGCTAACGACATTCTACTTTCTCAGTTTCTCAACAAGCCATGAATAAAAAACAATCTGAAAACCTGCTTTTACTTGTTTAAACTTTTGGCTCAAAGGCCAGAGAAACGAAAGGGAACACTGCCTTATAAAAATCATTGTACTCTGGAAAAAGTTTAATGGTTCATCAGAAGTTCATAGAATTATATGACCTAGCAATTCTTCTTCAAGGTATATAGTCAAAAAACTTAAAACTGGGGACTTGAAAAAACTTAAAATTGGGAACTTGAACAGATTCTTGTACACCACTGTATAGTGCATTATTCACAGTAGCAAAACATGGAAACAACCCAAATGCCCATCAACATATGGATTTAATAAGTATATGTAATAGTGGTATAAATATACAGTGGATTATTCAGCTTTAAAGAGAAATGAAGCTCTGATACACGCTACAACATGGTTGAATCTTGAAAGCACTTTGCTAAGTCAGTAAGACACAAAAGGACAAAGATGGCATGATTCCATTTACATGAGGTACCCAGAAGAGGTAAATTCATACACACAGCAGGCAGAAAAGAGGTTATCAGTCACTGATTAGAAGGCAGAGGGGAATCATTGTTTGATGGCTACAGAGTTTCTGTTTGAGGAAAAAGCTCTGAAAAGGGACAGTGGTGGTAGGTGCACAACACTATGAATGTACTTAATGCCACTGAACTGTGTACATTTAAAAATGGTTTTGTGGGGCACCTGAGTGGCCCAGTTGGTTAAGCTTCCAACTGTGGCTCAGGTCCTGATCTCGCAGCTTGTGGGTTTGGGAGCCCCTTCAGGCTCTGTGCTGACAACTCACAGCCTGGAGCCTGCTTTGGATTCTGTGTCTCCTCTCTCTCTGCCCCTCCCCCATTCACAATGTCTCTATCTCTCTCTCAAAAATAAACATTAAAAAAAATTGTAATTAAAAAAAAGTTTACAATAATTATGTTATTGTACCACAATAAAAATAAGTAAAATTTTAAATCTTTGTATTCCAAAGAGCTAGTGTATGAAATAAAATTGTGTAGCTAACGATATCCTAATTAGTGATAAGAGCCCCAAAAGAACTGATTGAGATAGTGATATTACACTGGTAATAATGAGATTATTACATTTTCCCAAATGTATATACATTTATGATTTTCACAGCACTTTTACATATATTCCTACATCTTATCCTCACAGTAACATTGCAAAGGAAACACGATGAATTCTTTTATCAAAGGGTCACTAGACTACAATTAGGACTAGAACTCCAATATTTGGCTGCTGCATCTTGCTCTTTCCACTACACCATAATAAATGCATCCCAAACATATGATTTAAAAAGTCAAGCTAGGGGCAACTCGGTAGCTCAATCGGTTAAGCATCTGACTTTGGTTCAGGTCATAATCTCACAGTTCGTGGGTTTGGGCCCCATGTGAGGCTCTGTGTTGACAGCTCGAAGCCTGGAGCCTGCTTCAGATACTGTGTCTTCCCCTCTCTCTGCCCCTTCCCTGCTCACATTCTCTCCCTCTCAAAATATAAATAAACACTTAAAAAATCAAAATAATACATGCTGAGTGCTGTAGTGGTCTTAATGTAATATTATCAGTCTCTGCAAAGAAATCATCTTTTAAACCCTGAACAGATCTGAACAAATAAGATGAGAGAAAAATATAATATTACTTAACTTTCACTGAATATTATATTTTATAATACCACCATAAAAAATTTTCTTTATTAATGCTTAAGCCACTTTCAAGACTAAGGCTAAACTCTGTCCCCTTTTACTGTTTCTTTCAGTAAGTTTAGTTTTCTTCTTATTATAGCGCACTATCATCAAGATAAACTTTAAATTTAAAAAATGAGGAAAAAATTTAAAAAAACAAAAAATGAGGAAGAAGTATACACTTTTAAGTTTTCTTTGAGAAATATCTGTATATAAATCTCTGTATAGAAAACATTATCTGCACTTGGGATGTTGTTCTACCCTTAGATTGAACCGCTATATTGATTCTACAGATCAACAGTACTTTGTCTCTCATCTTAATTATAGTAGTTCCACTGGAATTCTTTCTTGACTTTCCTCTTACAGTAAAAATGTAAAGAATGGAGTAAAATTACAGGAGGGCAAAATCAGTTAACAAATGACAGTAATTTGGAAAAACATTAACAGATTTCAATTCTCTACCTTCACTGCTTTGAAGATATAATTGGTAATAATAGCTGGCTTTCCTTTCTAGGCTTTAGAAAAGCACTCTATAAACCAAATAAATAGAGGTACCAGAATCATCTTAGGTGCAAAACAACAAAATAAATTTTGTTTAGTATACAATTCTATAAAAGTTTCTGGAAGGTGTTGTACCTTCTACATCTCTATACAGAGAAGTATTTTTCCTGTAGATTACAACAGTTAGAACATTAAGAATACTGAGTAAAAACAAGCTACCCTTTTCTATACAATTGCTATTTTGGCTAAAGAGAGTATGGCCCTGATTCTCAGAAGAAAACAACAATGGATAAAAGGTACATTCCTTGAACTGAAGTCATATTAGGACAAAAAGCCTCAACTAATGAAGTACCATAACAACACAGAGAAGAAACCTAAAAGCAAAAACTTGCTTAAGAGTATGTCAGTGTAGGGGCACCTGGGTGGTTCAGTCGATTAAGTAAGTGTTCAGCTCAGGTCATGATTTCATGGTTCGAGGGACTGAGCCCTGCATTAGGCTCTGCACTGACAATGTGGAGCCTGCTTGGGATTATCTCTCTCCTCTCTCTTTCTCTCTCTACTCTCTCTCAAAGCAATAAACTTTTAACAAATTAAAAAACTAAAAATTTAAAAAAAAGTATGTCCATGTAATCCAACAGCCCCAGGGACCAGGACTTTTAATCAAGAACAGAGGTCTATCATGTCTAAATGAAACATATCTATGGTAGACCTGGCTCAATGACTCCTA